GTAAAACATGTATTAAGCACGTCTCCTCTGCCAAGTCCTGCCAAGTACCGTGTTTTATTTTATTTTTTAAAGATTTTATTTTATTTATTTGAGAGAGAGAGAGAAGGAGCAGGGGGAGGGGCAGAAAGAGGGTGAAACGGACTCCCCACTGAGCAGGAAGCCTGATGGCGGAGTTAGATCCCAGGACTCCAGGATCATGACCAGAGTGGAAGGCAGAAGTTTGACTAAGCCACCCAGGCACCCAAGTACCGTGTTTTATACGCATGCAGCACACCCTGTCGTTGACCATCCAGAAACCATTTCTCCTATACTACCTCCTACCACCTCTCCCTTGTTGTTAGGGGTGGTCGTGTGGCCCAGTTCTGGCCAATGAGATTTAGGTAGCACTCCGCTGGGAATTACTGGGGGAGCTTTTGTTTTCCTGCTGAAACAGGACTGCTGAGTCTGAACTGTCCTCTCACCCCCACCGCTTCCTGCCTTGAACTTGGAGGTGAAGGCTGAGCACTGCAGTGATCTTGTATTCAAGATGGAAAGGACAAAGGAGCACCTCTCTGGAATTCTTGGTATGTCAGAAAATAACTACCTATTTGTTGAAATCATTGCTCATCATCATTACTTGCAACTGGAAATATTCCAGTGCACATCCACAAAAAGTGTCCATACATAATAGATGCTCAATAAAGGGTTCCTATTTACACTCTTATTTACATACAATTCCTCCCTCTAAAGAACTAATGATATTAATGATGGTTATCTCATATTTATGCAGTACTTGGCAATGTTCGTAAGATTTTCACATCCATTTTTTTCATTTGATCCTCACAACTCTGCAAGGAAGGCAACTTTTTATCCTAAAGATTCTTTTCAATTACAAGAGGATATATAAAAGTATTCTAGTATGCTTATATGTTACATATCGACTTATTTTCTCTCCTCTTCTTTTTTTCTTCCTTCCTTCCTTCTTTCCCTCCCTCCCTCCTTCATGCCAGTCCCGGGTCTGTTTTTCTCAGACCTACTTCCTAGCCCTCTCCACTCTGTTCTGTTCTGTTCTGTTCTGTAACACAGGGAGGTAGATCCATTTAGCCTGTGAATCCAGGCTCCAAGACATCTGGCTGTTTGGCCAAAGGGAGGTACTAGCCAGAGACTGGGAGTAGGTGTATGGGAGTGTTTCTTCTCCTCGCCATCTGCCCTAGGTAGCATCTCTGGCTACTCATCATCCATGGCTCCTGCTCTCACAAACAGGCCTGCTAGCGTTAAAGTTTCTTATCACCTGGCTCCTGGGCCCTGGTGACACTGGCCCCCCACTCTGCCCCTTTGCCTTATGGATGGCAGTGGTTTCCTGCTCTTGCTAAGTTCCAGGATGCCTCTCTGTCTCCTATCCCCTCACCTGTGTAACCAGTCAATCTCTTTAAGGCCCCTCTACTCTACAAACTCAAAGTATCTTCTTTGTCCTCAGACCTGAACTGATCTCCATCAATCTACCACACCTTTGCAGGGCACCCACTCCAAGGCCCCCATGCAAGATTCACAGGGAAGGAGCTGCTCCCAAGTTAGGGGGCTAAATGAAAAGCCTCAAAGTATGCCGGCCTCTGCTGGGACATCCCCAAACCCAGCAGAACTTACAGGGAAGTCCTGCCATGACCTGGGCTTCCTCCTGCTTCCAGAGGCAAGCCGAAAACAATGTGCAGGATCCTTGTATGTCCCCTTCACTGTCTACTGCACAAGTATGCTTGAGGATGCTTCTGGACGGTAGGGGAGATGCCTCTTGGCTTTCACATCCTCCCAGCCAAATGCTCCTACCAGTGGCTCTCAGGTTTAAGACAGTCTAGCTTCCACGGTTTGCTTTCTACTTCCTCCTCTTCTCTCCCAAACAGTCTTACCTAGGAAGCAGGAGGAATCTTATCCAGAGTGTTTGCTTCAGCAAAATGCCATGGCAGAATTGCCCAGAAAGGCTAACAGCGGAGAGATGGCAGAGGTACCAAGCGACCTTTGAGATGCCTGGATGTCTTGCACGGGATTTGTGGGCAGACTGGACACAAAACCTATTTCCCCACTTAAAATTTTATGGCTTTGGCAATTTAGACAATCTTTCTGAACTTCACTTTTCTTATCTATACAATGGAAACAATGTCTTCCTCACAGAATTATTGTTTCTGATCTGGCAACTTCCAGAAACATCCCACCCCCTGCTACAGACACAGAGAAATTCTGGGTGAACTATAACAGAAATGTTTTATTTTGGGGCACCTGAGTGGCTCAGTCGTTAAGCATCTGCCTTCGGCTCAGGTCATGAGCCCAGGGTCCTGGGATCGAGCCCTGCATCGGGCTCCCTGCTCAGCGAGGAGCCTGCTTCTCCCTCTTCCACTCCCCTTGCTTGTGTTCCTTCTCTTGCTCTGTCTCTCTCTGTCAAATAAATGAATAAAATCTTTAAAAAAAATGTTTTATTTTTACCACCAAATTTGAAAAACGTTGAGAGAAATCCTCAGATGTCAGAAATGAAAAAGAAATGAAAATGCAAAGCCAGAACAGGGTACAGGTGACGTGCCTTAGCAGCACACAGGGATTTCACACTTAGCTATAGATTCTGAGAGCTGCAGGCTAGGGTTCTATTGCACACCAAGGAGTAGGAGATGGGGCTTCAGTCCCAGCCAGGTGAGAAAGCTGGAACGGAGCCCCCTGCATAGAGCCCTGACATGGGAAGCTCCGCCCCTGTCCACGAAAAGGAGACTGGGAAAACTACCCCAGCATTAGTGAAGTTGCAAGGAAGCTTGGTATCTGAAGAGGCCTTAGGTGGAGAAAAATGACACTCATGAGAAATAAAAACCCTAACCTCTGCCAAAAGCATATGGGGGTCTAAATTTACTTTGCCTATATGCACAGGCACCTACTGAGATAAATTAACATAAAAATTGGTCCAGACCATTAAAATTCTTAGGTTAGGGCTGAAGTAAGACCTATTAAAATTCTTAGGTCACAGCTGACGGTGTATTCAAAAGAGCCCTGTAGGGATGCTTAACAATCCAGGCCTTGAGGAATCCACTAGGAAAAACAACTCCTGTTGAAGATGCTCACAAAATGTAACAAACCACATGTGGAAAGAAATTACCAAAATGGAGCGTCAACACACACAACTAACTAGGTGGAAAAAGGGTAAAAACAGAACCATCTGAAAGAGACTATGAATTTGGATGATTAAAATAGAGATAAGAGAAGGAATAGAGGCATAATAAAAAACCAGGATAGTGTGAGAGAAAGAGTTGGGAGATATGAAAAAGATGCATACAGAACTTCCAGAAATGAAAAACAGCCCCTGAAATTAAAAACTCAAAGGATGAGTTAAACTACATATTAGATCTAGCTGAAGAGGGAATTAGAAGAGAGATTTGAGGACATCACCCAAAATGGAGTAAAGACAGAAAGGGATAGAAGACCTGAATAAGAGTTATGATATGAAGGATATGAAGGATAAAAAGAGAAAGTCAAGCATATGCCTCACAGGCGTTCCAGAAAGATTTAATAGAGGGAATGGTAGAAAATCATTATTAAAAATATTATAGCTGTGGGGCGCCTGGGTAGCTCAGTTGTTAAGCGTCTGTCTTCGGCTCAGGTCATGATCCTAGGGTCCTGGGATCGAGCCCCACATCGGGCTCCCTGCTCAGCGGGAGGCCTGCTTCTCCCTCTGCCTGAGACTCCCTCTGCTTGTGCTCTCTCTCTCTCTGTCAAATAAATAATCTTAAAAGAAAAAAATATTGGGGCGCCTGGGTGGCTCAGTTGGTTAAGCGACTGCCTTCGGCTCAGGTCATGATCCTGGAGTCCCTGGATAGAGTCCTGCATCGGGCTCCCTGCTCAGCGGGGAGTCTGCTTCTCCCTCTGACCCTCCCCCCTCTCATGTGCTCTCTCTCTCAGTCTCTCTCTCTCAAATAAATAAATAAAATCTTAAAAAAAAAAAGAAAAAAATATTATAGCTATATTAGTTAAGGGTTCTCCAGAGAAACGGAGCATGTCTGTGTATGGATACATATACGGATATGTGTATATGCGCAACACACAGAAAGAAATTCATTCTAAGGAATTGGCTTACACAACTATGGCAGCTGACAAGTCCCAAGACTTGCAGTCGGCAAGCTGCAGACCCATGAGATCCAATGGTATAGTTCCAGTCTAGGAGTTTGAAGGCCCAGAACCAGGAGAGCCAGTGATCTAAGTGCCAGTCTGGAAGCCAGCAGGCTTAAGACCCAAGAGAAGCTGATGTTTCAGTTTGAATCTGGAGGCCAGAAAGGGCCAATGTCTCAACACAAACAGCTAGGCAGGAAGAGTTCTTTCCTACCTTTTGGGGGCAGGGGTGGGGATGTCAGCCTTTTTGTTCTAGTCAGGCTTGATTGGATGAGGGCCACCCACCTAGGAGGAGGCATTCTGCTATGTGTCATCCCCAAATACCCTCAGAGACACACCCAGGAAAAGGTCTGACCAAATATCTGGGTGCCCCCTAGCCCATTCATACCTCAGTGAAATTGCAAAACCACAAGAAAAAAAATAATGAAAGCTCTCAGTGAAAAGGGACCGATTACCAAAAGGGGTGTTAACTGCAATGATGGCAGCCTTCTCATCAGCAACAATGGAAACCAAAAGACAGGAGCATAATATTTTCAAAGTGTAGAAAGAGAATAAATCTCAACACAGAATTCTATGCACAGTGAAATCATAAATGAGAGCCAGATTTTCAGACATTTTCAGACAAGCAAAGCCAATGAGTTTACCTCACACAAACTCTTGCTGAAAAGAGCGCTAGTGGATATACATCAGTAAGAAAATTCAGTCCAGAAAGAAGTTACAAGGAGCGTGATACAAGTGAGGTCAGGGCCACAGCCAGCTCCCATCAGCTCAAAGAGCTGACTGCTAGAATTGCAGCAATTCCGAAAACTGGTTGTTAAACAGGGTCATTATTCAGCATTAAATTATATAAACTTACAATTAAATGAATTATTTTTTTTAAAAAAAGGTAAAAAAAAATCCTCACAATCCATCACTTCTTAATTATTTTACTATAGTGTTGCTATTATCTATGCTCTTGAGATAATTCATATCTCCTATATCTATATGGTAGAAGTAATACAGAATGGTGTGCCACTGTGCATTTCTTCCCATCTTCAGTGATGTCACGTCGGCAATTTGAGCATTTACACCCCAGAGATCAACAAATGCTACAGATCAGGGCTCCCCTTACCCCCTACCAAATAAGAGCTGGCTGTTAAATATCAGCACACCACTGAATACAAGAAATAACAGTTTCCACTCCTACCTATATATCCAAGGGAACTGAAAACATATATCCACAAAAATACTTTACACAAAAGTTCGCGGTGGCATTATACATAATAGCTTAAGGGTAGAAACAATTTAAATGTCCATCAACTAATGACTAGTAAATAAAATGTGGTTTATCCATACAATGGAATAGTATTCAGGCATAAAAGAGAATGAAGTACTGATACATGCCCCAATATGGATGAACTTTGAAAACATCATGCTACTTGAAAGATACCAGACATGAAAAGCCATATATTACATGATTCAATTTATAAGAAATTTCTATAGAATAGGCAAATCCATAGAGACAGAAAGTAGTTTAATGGTTGCTAGGGGCTAGGGATAGGAGGGAATGGGAAGTGACTGGTAATGGATATGGGATTGCTTTTGGGAATGATGAAAATGTTCTAAAATCAGGGATGCCTGGGCGGCTCAGTAGGTTAAGTGTCTGCCTTTGGCTCGGGTCATGATCCCAGGGTCCTGGGACTGAGTCCTGCATCGGGTGCCTTGCTCAATGGGGAATCTGCTTCTCCCTCTGCCTGCCGCTCCCCTTGCTTGTGCTCTCTCTCTCTCTGACAAATAAATAAATAAAACCTTTAAGAAAAAATGTTCTAAAATCAGATAATGGTGATGGTTGCACAGTTTTGTGAATATACTAAAAACTATAGAATTGTACACTTAAAGAGGGGGAATTTCATTGTATGTGAATTATATATATATATATTAAGATTTATTTTTTTAAAGATTTTATTTATTTGAGAGAGAGACATCCTAGGACCCTGGGATCACGACCTGAACCAAAGGTAGATGCTTAATCAACCGAGCCACCTAGGCACCCCTAAGATTTATTTATTTATTTTAGAGAGATGGGGGGGCAGGGTAGGGACAGAGGGAGAAGAGAGAAACTCAAGCAGACTGTGCTGAGCATGGAGCTGGACGTGGAGCTCGATCTCAGATGCTTAGCCGACTGCACCACTCAGGCGCCCCACGAATTATATTTCAATAAAGAAAAGGGACTGAAGAAAGGTAGGCAAATAAATTAATATGCAGGCTTGTAAATCTAAATAAATACTGGCTGTTAAATTATCTAATGGGGGGGTTAAAAGTTGGAACCAAAAAACTAAAACCCAAATTACTTGGAAGATAGAAGGGGATGGAGATCAGAACTGAAGAATTCTAAGGATCCTGAAATCTTCACAATGAGCTAGACATAGTTATTAACTTAACAATGTTAAGTCAAGTATGCACATTAATAATGTAAAAATATCCACCGAAGGAACAGAATTAGAATGTATAACTTCCAAACCACTCCTAAGAATAAAAAGGGAGTAAAGAAAACAACTAAACCAAGACAGGACAAAAGAATAAAGCAAACATATGGTAAACAGACAAAACAAAACAATGGGAAAATTCCCAATATATCATCATAATAAGAAACAGAAACATGACTAAGAAAAGATTCTCATATTTCTTTTTTTTAGATTCTCATATTTTTTTATTTAAAACCTAGCTGTATGTTGATTACAAGAATACATTCACGAGGTAATGACCCAGAAATGTTAAAAGGCTGGGGGAAAATACACTGGGTAAACACTAAGTGAAGTAATGCAATAATAATAAATTTTAAGATAAAAAGCATTATTAGAGATATAGTCATATACTTTTTTTTTTTTTTAAGATTTTATTTATTTGACAGAGAGAGACACAGCAAGAGAGGGAACACAAGCAGGGGGAGTGGGAGAGGAAGAAGCAGGCTTCCCGTGGAGCAGGGAGCCCGATGCGGGGCTTGATCCCAGGACCCTGGGATCATGACCTGAACCAAAGGCAGACACTTAACGACTGAGCCACCCAGGCGCCCCATAGTCATACACTTTTTAAAAATTTACTATTATTATTTTTTAAGATTTTGTTTATTTATTTGAGAAAGAGAGAGAGAGAGAGAGCACACAGAGGAAGAGGGAGAAGCATACATCCCGCTGAGCAGGGAGCTGGATGCGGGGCTTGATCCCAGGACCCTGAGATCATGACCTGAGCCGAAGGCAGATGCCTAACTGACTGAGCCACCCAGGCGCCCCACAGTCATATACTTTAGTGACAAAAGGGACAGTTCATCAGGAAGATATGAGCCAGAACCTCTCTGTACCAACTGGAAATACTGCCTCCAAATATATAAGATATGACGAGAAATGGACAAATCCACATAGTGAAAATTTTTAACACATCTCCCTCAGTAGCTGATTTGAGTAAGCTGATGAAATATTTGTAAGGTTATAGAAGATTTGAAGAACACAACAGTCAAGCTTTTTCTTTCCATCTTTCCATACATACACTCTTGGCCTCAAAAGTTCTTCCTCCCTATTGCTACACACTGAGTCAATTGCCAAAATTTGTGGATTCTCACAGTACAGTGGGTTGGTTCTGTGCCAACCCCCTTTCATCTTTAGCTAGTTCTTGGCTCAGGCTTTACTTGCCTCTTCCCTTAACCACTGTAACTATCTCCTAATTGACCCCCCCATACTTATGGAGAATCGCCCAAATGACATGTGGTTCAGTAGTTTCATTCTGATGCTATAAATTTTATTTTTGGATTAAGCCAGACTAAAGGTATTGCGATATTTCAGTCACAGTGGAAGTACTTTTACTATACGGAGCTCTAGTGTGAAGTTATTGGCTATTTGGAGGGATGGTAAAGACAAAATCCTAGGAAATTTTCTCTCGCTGGTATATTATTCCAGGTACATACAGTATTCTCTTCACGAGGAATCTTGGGGGGTAATATTCAGAAATATGTACTTCTCCTGTCCAACCAATTTGCATATATTTTATGGGCACTGAATCATGTATCTGATATTTCCACTTTGCTAGGGTCACTAGGAAACTCACAGTCAAATTTGCTGGCCACTTTTAACAGGTATATAAATAACTAATATTTATTGAATACTTGTTTTGAACCAAGCACTGCTCCAAACGCTTCATATGTTTTAATCTATTTAATCCCCATCTCAGGCCAATGAAATAATGACCATTATGGGCCCCATTTTAAGATGAGAAGATTGAGGCCCAGAAAGGTTATATAATTGGCCCAGGATATACAGGTAGTAAGATGCTGAGCCAGAATTTGTACCCAGGCAGTCTGGTTCCAGAGTCTATTAACCACAATATAACTTTTTTTTTTTTAAGATTTTTTAAAAAATTTATTTATTTGACAGAGAGAGAGACAGCGAGAGAGGGAACACAAGCAGGGGGAGTGGGAGAGGGAGAAGCAGGCTTCCTGCTGAGCAGAGAGCCCAATGCGGGGCTCGATCCCAGGACCCTGGGATCATGACCTGAGCCGAAGGCAGACGCTTAACGACTGAGCCACCCAGGTTGCCCCATGACATTATCTTTTTAAGTCTTATGATATGCATGCCTGTGTGCCAATCATAGCCCCTGGCTCTATTAATTTCCTATGCATATACTGTGGCTTCTGGCCAAGGTACAGTAATAGGGACTATACTTACCTCCCTACTCGAAGCAGCTACAAATCTGGACAAAACATATGAAACAGTGATTTTTAAGACATTGGATATCAAGCAACTAAAACCAGTAATCCCTGGGAAACAGAAAGCAAGTGAGGTGAACCCTATGATTGTCCCTGCTTACCTCCCAGAAAGGGTTTCTAGGCCATAGTGCTGACAGAATAAACCCAGGTGGAACTCAGTGGTTTTTCTGAGTTGAAGAGATGGAGCTACAAGTCTGGGGAGGTCAAGGTAGCAAGAGTTCACAGGGAAGAGTGCCAAAGAGAAGAAATCTGCACCAAAAGAAAGTTCTGGCTATCTGGTAAGGTTCCCCCTTGAGTCTTCAGCATACATGTGAGGAAAATACTTGAGACCCGAGAGAACCATCCAAAGGAACTAGAAGGAACAATTCCCAAAGAACACACAGGTTCAGTTTCTATTCCCAACATTCAGAGTGGCAGGCATATTTCACAAGGCATCAGGTGGGCTTCGCCACAATAGTGGGGTAAAATTAGTGCTAGACTAATTCTGCTCTGGTCCCATCTAACAATGTTTAAAGGTAATAGCCAAAAGCTATTTCTGATCATTCAAAATCCCTCAATTGAAACTGACCAAGATAGGTAGAATGGATAAAAACATGGATAAAATGGATAAAAAACAGTTACAACTGTATTTCATGTGATCAAGAAACTAGAAAAAACACTAAGCTTGTTAGAGACATAGAAGATGCCAAAAAGGTCCAAGTCACAGTAGCAACAAACACACTCAGTGCCCATCTCTTGGTTTCTAAATACCATTCTCCAATAAAAGGAACCAGGGTTCTTTAGAGAAATGTTTGATTGCAGATCTAGAACAGGGAAAATACAAGATGATTCTGGAGCATGCTGTAGTACTAGAAAGTAAGGAAGTGTTCAAAAACAAAAGAATGAGAAGATGTTGAAGAGACACAGAAGCGAACCTGAAAGAGCATCCAATGGCCCAAACTGGAACAATCTGAGCAATAAAATAAATAACATAGCATTGGATTATAATGCAAAATATCAAATAAATATACATGAGTCCAAAATGATATAAATGAGTGAATAAAATGGGAAGAAAGATAATTATTCTTTTTTTTTTTTAATTTATTTGACAGAGAGAGACACAGCGAGAGAGGGAACATAAGTGAGGGAGAGGGAGAAGCAGGCTTCCCGCTGAGCAGGGAGCCCGATGTGGGGCTCGATCCCAGGACCCCGGGATCATGACCTTAGCCGAAGGCAGACGCTTAACGACTGAGCCACCCAGGCGCCCCAGAAAGATAATTATTCTATACAGAGTTCCAAATAACAGATGCAGATACTCCCTCTTTGCAGGAGGTGGAACTTAATCATTCCCTTTCCCTTGAGTGTGGGCTGAACTGGGTGACTTGCTTCCAAAGAACAGAGTATGGAAAGGAAAAAACAGTGTCTTCACAGTAGGAAAATCTATCAAAACTACCTTAATCAAGTGATTAAAGTGAAGGTCACCAATGATGTCATGTGGCTATCATGTGCCCTCTAATTTGATGTAATAACAAGAACACTTTACCTGCTATTCTTTCTCAAAACCCAAAACCCAGCTAATCATGAGAAAAACATCAGACAAACCCAAATTAAGGGATATTCTATAACATACATGACCAGGTGTTCTTTAAAACATTCCAGGTCATGAAAAACAAGATAAGACTGAGAAACTGTCATGGGTCAGAAGAGACTAACAAGACATAACAAGTAAATGAGATCTGATATCTTACTGATTCCTGGGACAGAAAAAAAGACATTATTGGAAAAGCTGTTGAAACCTGTATAAAGTGTGGGGTTTCGTTAATAGTCATGCACAAACGTTGGTATCTTAGTTTTGGGATAAGTGCACCACAGTAAGATAATAACATTGGGAGAAACTAAAACTGGATGAGGGGCATTTGGAACACCCCATACCATCTTTGCAAATTTTCTGTAAATCTAAAATTATTCCAAAATAAAAAATATATTCAAAAAACCCAAGTCAAATTTCTTGAGATGGAAACCACTGTATTTGAGATGAAGAATCCACAAAATAAGATTAAAATAGAGTAGACATTTCAGAAGAAAGCATTAATAAATTTGGGGACACAGCAATAGAAACTAAAAGAGGAAAAAATTGAACAGAGTATCAGTGAGCTGTGGGACAACTTCAAGTGGCCTACTATATATGTAATCGGAACCCCTAAAGGAAGTAGGGGCAGAGAAAATGTTTGAAAAAATAATGTCCATAATTTTCCAAATTTGGTGAGAAGAAATCTAAGAAGCTCAATGAACCCCAAGCATAAGAAACACGAAAAATACTATACCAGTGCATATAAAATCAAATTGCTGAAGTCAGTAATACAGAAGAGGTCTTAAGAGCAGCAAGAGGAGGGCGCCTGGGTGGCTCAGTTGGTAAAGCGACTGCCTTCGGCTCAGGTCATGATCCTGTAGTCCCGGGATCGGGTCCCACATCGGGCTCCCTGCTCAGCGGGGGGGTCTGCTTCTCCCTCTGACCCTCTTCCCTCTCGTGCTCTCTGTCTCTCATTCTCTCTCCCAAATAAGTAAATAAAATCTTAAAAAAAAAAAAAAAAAGAGCAGCAAGAGGAAACAGTACATATAGAGGAACAAAGATAAGAATTACAACAGAAATAATGTAAGCCAGAAGACACTGGAGCAAAACCTTCAAGGTACAGAAAAAAACTGTCAACTTATAATTTGAAAGTATCTTTCAATAACAGATGTGACAATGGGAACAGAAGAGTCTTTTCAATAAATGGTGCAGGAATAACTAACTGGAGATTAACATGTAAAAGAATGAAGTTGGACACTTACTTCACGCCATATACAAAAACAAACTCAAAATGGATCAAAGACCTAAATATAATAGCTAAAACTATAAAATTCTTGGGAGAAAACATAGGGATAAATCTTCATGATTCTGGATTTGGCAATGGTTTCTTAGCACAAAGCAACCAAAAAAACATATAAATAAATAAACTGGACTTCCTCAAAATTAAAACTCTTCTCTACCAAAGGACACTATCCAGAAAGTGAAAAGACAATCCATAGAATGGCAGAAGATATTTATAAATCATATATCAGATAACGGTCTAGTAACCAGAATATATAAAGAACTCTTTCAACTCAACAACAAAAAGACAACTCAAATAAAAAGCTTATCTAATAGACATTTCTCCAGAGATACACACATGGCCAGAAAGCTCACCAAAATGCTTGACATCATTAGTTATTAGGGAAATGCAAATCAAAACCACAATGAGATTCCACTTCATATTCACTAGGATGGAGATATATAGACATATATCTCTCTACATATATAGGGAAAATAATAATTGTTGACGAAAACATGGGGAAATTGGAACCCTCAGTTCTTACACTGCTGCTGAGAATGTAAAATGGGCGACTGCTATGGAAAACAGTCTGGTGGTTCCTCAATAAGTTAAACATAGACTTACCACATAACCAAACATTTCCATTCTACATATGTACCCACAATTAAAAATATGTGTTCAAACAAAAATCTGTACATACACACATTCATAGCACCACTATTCATAACAGTCAAAAGGGAGAAACACAAATGTGTATCAGTGGATGAATGGATAAAGAAAATGTGGTATATCAATGCAATAGAATATTCTTCAGCCATAAAAATGTATGAAATACTGATACATGCTACAGCATGGATGAGTCTTGATGCTAAATGAAAGAAGCCAGACACGAAAGGCCACATATTGCATGATTACATTTATATGAAAATTTCAGACTAAGCAAATCCACAGAGACAGGAAGTTGATTAGTGGTTGGTTGCCAGGGGCTTGGGGTAGTGGGTGAATGGGGAGTGTCTGCTTAATGGATACAAGATTTCCTTTTGGAGTGGTGAAAATGTTCTGGAACTAGATAGTGGTAGTGATTGTACAACACTGTGAATATACTAAATGTCACTGAAATGTGCACTTTAAAATGGTTAAAATGGTGAATTTTGTTGTATGAACTTTGCCACAATAAAAAAAAGCAATTCCCATAAAAGTCTATTCTTTTATTCATCTATCAAACATTTATTGAACAATTCCAGACAAGCTTTATTCTGGATGCAGGGAATACAGAGAACATTCAGATGTGGTCTTGGCTTTTGAGGAGGTCATGGGCTGGTAAGGGAGGAAAAACATTCCGCAAACAATTAAGTTCAATTAAGTGTTAACGTTTCTTTGACATAAGAGTGTGTATGTACGCTGGGGGTGGCTGCTTTACCACTGCAGAGAACAGCAATGGTAAGGTTAAGGCTCGAGTGCTGAGTAGGAGTTTGCTGGGTGGATGGCAGCAGCAAGGGAGTCCAGGCAGAGGGCGTGACTTGCGGAAGCTCAAAAAACTGGGGTCCAAAAGCCACTGGTTTTCAATAAACTCTAAACCATACAGCACATGTGCAGCAGTGTGGACAATGGGCTTCAGGACAGTGAGGTGACAGGTGGGTAACCACCTCAATCTGGTCACAGTAGGTGATACTAAGAAATGTTAGGGTAATGACATGGACCTCACTGAATGTGAGGGTCTAAAAGTGTGATGCCACAATTAGGCCACTTGGTGGGTGGTGGACATTGCATGTCCCTAAGGTGGGTCTGCAGAACACTCTGTTCTCAGGGCACATCAAACCAGAATTTACACCCTTCTTCCCCATCTTATGTATTCTATTTTTAATGATTTTTTTTTTTCATTTGAAGCCTACTTCCCTTTTCCTTGGGCTTCCTGTGTTCCTGTTTGAAATATGTGTTACTATGGAAATGTCATGGCACAGTATATAGTGGCATTTACAAGTGAAGTGTAAAGAATTTTCAGAACATCTAGAAACACAAGTCTATGGTTTAGGAATATAAACCCTAATGATGTGATAGCATTTACGCCTTTAGACCCTGTGTCATAAATATAAACACACCCTGAAATTTGAGATAGCATGGAGGAGATAGTTAAGAACTTTATTAGGATTTATGTGCCCAGATTTTAAAAATATATATGAGAAATATTAAAAACATAAAGCCTAACACACTACTTGGGAAGGACATCTGGAAAAAATGAATGACAGAATACCAGCATTTACTTATGAATACACACCTCTGGAAGGACCAGAGGGCCTGGACACCCCAAGGAAACTTGGAAAAACCTCTGTCCTACTTTGATGCTATAAATATGTTCCCTAAAAGTTGCATGTAAATCAACTGTTGGTAAATCATATCAAATGTGAGGTTGACTGCTATTTTAAAGACATCTTAACAATGTACACATTAGTAAAGGCAATTATTACCAGTGGAGTAATGGAAAAAAACTCACTTGTCTGAGTGAAATTCAAGGTCCTTCATTATTATCCTGGCTCAGCCACCAGCTAGATGTGTGATTCAAGAAAAGTGACTCAACCTCCCTGGGCCAATTTCCTCATCTAAGCTGAGTTGTAATTCTGAATTTTCACTTATTTGGTTCTTAAGGCAAGGTACAGGGGGACTGGCCCATAGCCCGACATCCAGTTTCCTCTGAGAGGTACAACTTCACACCGAATCCTGGGGATGGTATAGCCAGCAGGCCAGTTAACCATTGTTCTGTGTGTTTTCTCATTCCCACCATCACCCTATGTGTGATCATTCTAACTTTCTGTCCCAAATTCTTTATAAAAGCTTGTTCCTTACAGCTGTCCTCCAGGAAAGATGGACAGTCTAAGGTGGGAGCTCATTCTCAGTGGTCTCTCCACCTCTGGCCCCTTCCCCATGCCACGAGGCTGGGCAGCCTGAGGGAAAGGGCCCAACCCCCTGTGCCTCACGCAGGCCCAGACCTGAAGGAATTCACTAAATGAATGCTCACTGGATGTTCCCGGAGGAAGATGAGACAGAGAAATGGGTCTGGTGAAATACCTGAACCCTAGGGGTGAACTTTTGGCTGCTGTTTTCTAGCATTCCTAAACCTTCCAAAATTTCCATGTGGGGCAGAAAGATAAACATACCACAAGCATTAAACCCTCCTTTTCCTGGCTGTCAATGCCCTGGCCTCCCACAAATAATGCAAGTTTTGCCCAGTTCACCAGCACTGGGAATAGGACATGGGCACACATCTTGAACAGAAAGAGCCATTACAGTCTCTGCATCTGTTCTGCTTAAACAGCAATGACACCATGCGTTTGTCTTTGTGGACCTAACACCTGCCATCTAGCCCCAGGCTGAGACCCCTGCCAACTGGCTTCAGAAAAGGCCATCTATCAACAGTGTTTAGGCGCCACCTTGATAAATCTGCCATACAGGAAGGACAAAACACAACTGTAATTTGTCTTCTTAAGCAAAAACAGGTTTAGGCTTTATTAACTGGCAAGAGCCAGAAGGCAATGGGTCAGGCTTTTTGCCGATTATTGCCATTTTGTAGAGTAATTCAACAGCTGTTGGGAAGACTAAAGAAGCAAAGGAAATAGCTATCTATTGAGTCCTTTACTGCATGCCAGGTCTTGCGCTGGGTGCCACTGACGTTATTTAAAGTAAGCCTCATATCTAATAATCACTATCTAACATGCTATATTCTTGCTCTTGCCTGTCTCCTCCACTTAAATGTATGCTCAGGAGGAGGAACACTCTCTTGTCTCATTTATTGCTCTATCTTCAGTGTTTAGAACAGTGTCAGATACACATAAGCAGTCAATAAATATTTGCTGAACCAGCAAAACGAGGTAAGTGTTACTATTCTCCTTTTACAGATGAGTAAACTGGAGTGCCCCAAGGGTGCAAAGTGGACTGCCCCAAGGCACATGATTTGTTAAGGAGCCAGTACTAACACCTGTTCTTCCTACAGACCAATCAACTTGACAAATCTACGTACGCCTATAAAAGATGTACATATTCATTTGGAAGTTTGAAATTTTACCAAAGAGGTATATTTGGCATTTTAATGATAAACATTTTGCTAAAGCAACAACAAAGGACATATTTTCCCAAGATAACAACCATTTCATCTATGGATAGGCATTATCTACACCATTTCTCACTTTAAAATCCCGTAACATGATTACTCTTCAGACATAAACAAAAAGCACAGCAATTCCGGATTCCATCAAAATAACATTTGCAAACTTTAGTTTTGTAAGTTACAATATTAAGATGACTAATGATATGTTGCAGAATTCTCAGTGTGGGATACCAAATATTCCCATGTACATCCATGTGGCTTGAGTGTTCCAGTATGGGAGGAGGTAGGCTTGGCACATCACAAGCCCCTCCTATCCTAACAAAATTATATGGAAGGCTCAAGGATTCTTCAGAGAATCAGCTGTAATAAAATCCATCTTGAGAATACTCACTTGGTATGAAAGAATGCAAGAATGAGATTAATTTTGCTTGGGAGAGTATTTCCATATTCTTTCCCATTGTCAGAATATACTTGATCCATACGTGCTCTTTTATTTACCTAGTATTACATAACAGGAGCACGCTGCTCACTGTAACTTCTCATATCACTTTGGCTTTCTTTGTAGGGATTCTGGCCCCTTGCCTTCTCCTCTGTGGCAGGCCCTGTTCCCTTCTGTCCCACACTCTTGCTACCATCACAGTATCACACAGCCTCCATGTCCACCAGCCAGTTAATTGTTCACGGACCAAATGAGCGGTTTGGCCTGTCTCCATTGCCACCTTTTGGTGCTACTGTTTTATTCCGATGATAAAAGTAGTAACATTTTGGAGAAATTTTTAAAAGAGAAGAAACAGAGAAATTAAGAAAACACTTATAACCGAACCACCCAGACTTAGCACACCCGTTCCAGTCATTTAAAAAAACATTTTTGGATTTATATATATTATTTTGTGTACCAGTCTTTTCACTTAACATTATAAGCATTTTGCCATGCTGTTTTAACAGTTCATAAACATTAATTATAATGACTGTATAATAAGTCTATTGTACGGTCACACGGTAATTTATTTAACCAACTTTCTACTGTTGGACTTCTGGATTGTTAAGTATAAATTCTGCCCACATTTTAGACTATTTCTTTAGGACAGAGTCCCAGAAGCGGAATTAGAGGATCAGAAGATATAAACATTTTTAAAGCTCCTGATAGATACTGCCAAATTGCTTTTCAGAAAGCAGTTGCCAATTTACACTTTCAACATTGCCAGAGTGTTTTTCTACCAATACAGATCTGTCTAAAGGATAGTGAAATTTAAGTGGAACACACAGTCCTCAAGTTATTCATGCAGTTGGAGGCTTTATGACTACAGCACAGAGGCCAATGGCAGAGGTCATACCTATTGCCGGGTATGCAAATAACAATGAGTTAGTGTGAGCACATGGAAGAGGAGTTCTACCAAAGTGAAGAGTAATATAATTAGATTTCAGACTGTCAGATGGAAGGCCTGTGTCGGTTTCGTCCACTGCTGCACCCCAGCACACAGGACAGTGCCTAGAACATACAGTCGCTCGACAGAAATGTATTCAATTAACAGACTCGTCTTTCAGATGCATTTTTTTTTCAGCAGCTGTAGGAGTTAGTCACTGCTGGATTCAAGGGAAACTTGACTGGCTGGATTAGAAATACCCTTGTAAACATCTGTCCAATCCTGAGATTCTATTTCAATTTCAGAAAATCAGTTTAACTGAAGGTGACACGATACGGCTCTCTTGAGGGGAAGAACAAGTAAACACATGTGAAAGGGTACACCCTGGGCACCAGCATGCAAATAAGTGTATGATTCAGGGAGTGTTGTCACCTCCATAGTAGTTATTTCCACAGGTAAAAACGTAAACTCATTCAAGTGCTGCTCGTAGTCATGGAAACTTTGGACCCACCTTCAGTTCATTCTGTTAGCCCACTGGCTGCAACTTTGAACTATTTGCAGTATTGCCCAAACTGTTTCTGAGATATTATAAGGGCATGATATAAGTAGTAGTTTGTGTAATATTATTTTTAGTCAATATGGTTGAGATGAACTAGTCACTCATTCAGTTCTAGTTCACTCTCCTGGCACTGTAAAGATTCCCTCCAGTAGTCCACAATTTCTGTATTAATAAACTACCAGACACTGCTGGATCAATACGGCATTAACAACGTTATTGATGGAAAAGGATCAATCATCTGTCATCTTACATACACACTTCATATACCTTAGACCAGGGGTAGGCAAACTATGGTCCATGGGCCAAACCTGGCCCACCATCCGTTTTTCTCTGGTGTATAAACTAAGAAGTCTAAGAATGGCTTTTTTACATTTTTAAACAGTTGAACAAAATCAAAATAGTATTTTGTAACATGTGAAAATTATATGAAATTCAAATTCTAGTATCCATAGATAAAAGTTTTATTAGGACACAGCCATGTTCATCTGTTTCTGTATTAGCTCGGTCTGCTTTTGCAATAAAATGCTGAGCAGTTACTACATAGACTGTATGGCCCACAAATCCTAAGATATTTCCCTTATAGAGAAAATTTGTTGACCCCTTCACTAGATCCAAGGGTCCTTGGAGGTATTGAAGTTTCCCACTACAAATTTTTTATTTCTAGATATTAATACTGGGAGAAGGGTGATGCAACTGGGACAGTATTTGCAAGGATCTGAAAAGGCAGACACTAGAGAAGATAAATACATGAAGGTTGCCTTGGATAGTGTAAAGGCCGGTAAAATCTGAGGGGTCTGATCCAACCAAGCAGCAGTTGGAGAACGCAGGGTTGCATATACAGTTCCAGCAGCAAATTGAGCCACATGGGACCCTGGTGAGACCCAATCCCGAGAAGCCTAGTGAGCCTTGCTGACAAGGTGTTCTTCTGCAAATAGCAGGCTGGCTGAGCAGTGTATGTGATGCAGAAACAGAGAGTTCCCCAATAGTAGCCCCCTCCTTTACTAGATGTCCTCAAGTCAGTTGGTACCCAGATTGATCCAGGCATCTCCACTGGCAAATCTGAACTCTAAGAAATGGATCTGAAAGGAAGGCTCTGGAAAGCAGGTCCTAGGTACACATTCTTCCCAAACAACATTTCAATGAGGATTCAGAGCCAGGGGCAGAATTCAGAAGACTGAAGAACTATCCATGTTTTTTGAAATCAAACATTGGTGAATATTTTATTCTCTCTGTTTTTGCTCATTACCGTGGGGCAGGTGGAAATAAGGTAGGGAGGAGTGATGGGTGGAGGAAGAATTAGATAAAATCACTGATGGGATGATCTTCCCCAGAAGGTGTCTATTCTCCTGGACTTCCAGCTGTGGAATATAACATTCCATGTGGATTTTGAACCAGAATGGGATAGAAAGGGAGATCAGTCTGAAAGCCAAAGAGATTCATTAACTGACTGTGTGCTGAGCTTGAGAATTACAGTCAAGGTTTGCAGATGGCCATTTCTCCTCCTGATGTCCTACAGAGATCCAGGCTTCACCTTCTACCTTTAGGTGGAGCTTACCCTGAGAGAATGGGATTTGGATGTTGTATTTTTGAAAAACTTTCATGACTCCTGAATACCAGAGATAACCAAATTGCCTCTTTAAGAAACTTTTAACACTGGTTGCCTCTGGGGAGTGGAACCACTGGTGGCTAAGGGTGGGAGGGAGCTTCTTCTTCTTCCCAGTATGTCTCTTAGATAAAACAAAAACAAGAACACATCCGTTCACGTTGTCCCACCCTGCTTCTTGAGGATAGGAATGCAACTTGGGGCCAATTTCCCTACTCAAGACTATAGGGCTGAAGTGGGGAGCTGGAAAAGGGATCAAAAGTTAAGAGAGTTGTAAGTTGAATAGAAAAGCCTCACCAAAAGGGAGGGAGGTATGATCCTGAACCAGAATACAAAGCACCAGTATAACAGCGGAGAAAGAGCAAACTGATAGAGAATAAACAGAGGTGTGTAAGAAAAGCCAAGGACAAGAGCCTGGGGCATGACGATAGGTGGATTCTTGAGACTCAAGAAACCTGTGGGGCAGGTGGAAGTCCAAGATGTAGTTCAGGGTAAATGTTGTGTCAGCGATAAAACAGATTTGGTGGGTGGACACATAAGGGGTACTGTTTTGAGAACTCTCCTGTCTGGGGATAGTCCTAGATCATGCTCTGGCCTGGGGCTTAGTGATTCTGAGCACATATGGATAGTTTGCTGTGGGATGAGTGTTAGGGCAGAAATTTTACTTCCCCAAATCTGAGCCATCTTAGGGTCTAATATCATTTTTTTTTCTTTTAAGATTTTACTTATTTTTTGGGGAGAGACAGAAAGAAAGCGAGAGAGAGAGAGAGAGAGAGAGAGCCCGAGCTGGGGGGAGGGGCAGAAGGAGAGGGACAAGCAGACTCCCCACTGAGCAGGGAGCCCGATGCAGGGGCTTGATCCCAACTGAGCCACCCAGGTGCCCCGGTCTATTATCATTTCATTGAATATTTTCTGTGAAGCCTTGCAAATGGGCAATTGGTTTAGGTAGAGCCATAGTTCGACCCAACTCGTACTCAGCACATGATCTAAAGTAAAAAATTAAGTCCTTTTCATTACAGCTACTAGTAACAATTTGAATTCACATTCTTGATTACCTGCTTCCAGTTGCCGTGTCCAAACCCTGTCTGGGCCAACAATGCTTCTGGTACCCTATGCTCCAGCATGGTCTTAGTCCAGCATCTTTGGAAGGCTCACTCCAGCCCTGTTCACAGGACAGGAATAAGTCCAGAAATAAGTTCTCTCAGGTTGGAGATAAGGCCTAGAGATACTGTTGTAGAATCCTGGCCCTGGCCAAGGAGCATACAGTTTTCCACGAATTACCACTGAGCCTAGCAAGGATTAATATGAGGTTCAGCCACAAAGTTGCAATAGCCAGCTATGGGGGCTTTGTTCCAGAAGTGCAGTGTCTCTGGAGACAAGTGCTTGTGGGGAACCAGGGCCTCATCTGATATAGATGTAATGGTCCTGAAACGGAATGTCTAGAAATGTCAAAGTAGGTAGAAGTCTATAAGCTGTTGTTTGGTTTACGAGTTCTTTTGCACAAGATCTTTTATTCGTGGGTTAAGGTCTAGGTTTCAGAGCGCTTCAAAACTAACAGCTATTAGTAGGGAACTTGTCATTTTTTGAAGGGGATAGAGACAGTGAAAGAACAGAACTAAACATAACTGTGTTGAATAGTGTTGGGCTTCTATCAACCAATATGGCTTATTAACTTACTAGTTAAATAATAGGGACTGTTACATGTAAAAATCCTTGGGTAAAACACAGACATTGGCTAATCCTGTGAAATGCTGTTTCTAACCATTCCTCCACTGCACCTCCATCAGGCATTTCTGAGATGTTTCCAGTCTATGTGGTATTACTTGGAATCCACTTGGGAAAAGTTCCATTCCATAAATCCTGGCGGAGAGGCAGAAAGAGATAAAGGAGTCTAAACTTGCAGAACTTTTTTTTGGGGGGGGGTTGATGGGAAAACTAGATCATCAAATAAGTGAGTTATTATAAACCTATCCACAGATTCAGGGAAAGCAATTTATAAACTAATGGCATAGTTAGGGCAGAGAAGAGGAAGCAAATTATCCCAAATTGTTCATCTTCTGCAACAAACACCATTATCTTCCTCCCGACTTTGCTATTTCAGCCAACAGTGCCATCATTTTCATACCGATGCAGGTTCAAAACCTCATGCTATTCCACCTGCTTGGGAAGCTTTCTCTAATTTCCTAGCCTCCTGTCTCACCTTTCTTTATGGATCCAGCCAGGAATCATCTCATCTGGATGTCCACCCAGCCAGCCCTTAGTGATCTTGTTTTATACCTTCACACGGTCAATGCCCAGCAGTGTTCTAAAAACTGCAGGTGCTCAAAAACCACCTGACAGGGTTGGCATTAGTTACTAAAAACAGGCTGCTGTATGGGAATCAGCACATAAGCAGCAGACTCCCTCAATTCAAGGTCTAGAGTATCACCTCGTCTTCCTCCTCACACATCGCGGCCTGGGTCTGAGTCCCCTGGCTTATATTTTCTAGGACCAAATCCTCCTCTTCCAACAGAGGGGATACCCAAATGAGTGGGGGTCCAGAGCACAGGACTCATGAAACAAATCCAGCTCCTCTGTAAAAGACAGGTCTGTGAGAAGGTGAGTATAGGTGGCCAACCCCTGTGTACTGAGGGGTTCCCACTGAGTCATTTGGGCTGGATACGCCCTTAACAATGCTCACTAGGTCAGCATACCACTGCCTTCTGTACCATACCTCAGGTCCTGCCTGTGAAGCAGGCTGGAACTGTAGGCCTTCTTTTGGGGTCCTCCCAGAATATGCCTTCATGGGCACAGAAGGACTCCGGGAGGTCCTGTTCCCACCTTTCAGTGGTATGATCCCCTGAGGCAGAATGTTGAGAACACAAGAACAGGACAGCCACAACAAGCTAAGGTTTGGGCAGCAAGGAGATCCAAACTTTAACAAGCAAAAGAAATCAAGAAACAAGTAAGTACCAGAAGTCAACAGGCAAAAGTTCCTCAAAATTGGAAGACGGCCCAGGAGTCCAGCAAGGGTAACTAGGAGGGTGGTAACGTGGGAAGGAGCGGGTGAAGACTGACAATGGATGAGCAGCAAATGAAGGTGCCTGTGAGGCAGCTTTCTAACTCAGGCTCAGCTACCTCACATTCCTTTCACCACGGGGTGAACCAATCCTGAGCTGCCCTGGAGGGAAGGCTTGTTGATGATGAAGCCTGCAGAAACTGGCTGGCAGGGTAGTGGTTTTGGGGATGGGATACAGGCAGAGGTATTTCCCCACCAGCTTCACACTGGAGATGAGTCCATGTTTCAGAACTTATCTTTTTCCTTACACACGAGCTATTTTTCCTAGTTTCCTTTGAAAGATCAGACTGAAAGTCAAATCTCCGAGGTTTAGGTTCATCCTTCAAAATACCTGATATAACTTTTGCAGAAACTTTCCTCATATTCAAGTTTTCTTTCAAAATGAGTCTAACGGTTTCTTTATCTAAATTTAACTCTTCGGCCATCATCCTCACAGTCAACCGCCTGTTTGAACAAACCAAGTCCTTGACCTTCTGGATATTTTCATCCGTCCGGTGGGTGACTGGACGACCACTTCGGGCGTCATCTCGAACGTCTTCCCGCCCTTCTTTAAATCTTTTGTGCCAGTCGAAAACTCGGGCCCTTGACATGACTTCATTCCCATAAGCTTCTTTCAAAAGGTGGTGGGTCTCACTTGCAGACTTGTTCAATTTCACGCAAAACTTGATACTAATCCTTTGTTCTAGATAGCGGTCACTCATTCTGGCACTTAAACAGCATAGGAAAGTGAAAAGACCACAACTGTTAAGGGGAAGAGAGTGGAACCAATCTCCATAGGGCTGCAAGTGGAATCATGTCGCTATTAATGATCCTCCAGCAGCCTCACCAGGGAAGAGTAATTGCTTTTCTGAGTTTTCGCCCGACCTTCCGGTCGAGGCTGGGGAAGCCCGTCCCGAGAAGCTAACAGGGCCGAAGAGTAGCTGCAAAACTGAGGAAAATGAACGTCTCCGTTCAACTGTGCACGCAGGGCTGCGGAGAGTGTGTAAATCAGTCAGTCAGCAAGGTCTTCCCGATTCCGCGGCCCTTCAGAGTCTATGGCGATTTCTGCAACAGAGGCCTAAGTGGTGGCAACGTAAGCAAGCAAGGAGAGATACACCGGTGATATAATGTGCAAGCTCGCCCCAGATCTGCGGAATCCCGCGCACGCCAAACCTACCGAAGGTGCCGGGGACTCCCTGCTCTAGAGTCCCGGGAGACACGCCCGCATGCGCAATGGCCTCTCTTCGCGGGGTAGGTTGTGCGCAGGCGCACTGCGGCAGCTCGCGCCAGGCCTCGCTTACACTTCGCCACGCCCGGGCCGGCGCGCTTCTTTGCGCGTGCCCGCTCGGGGAGAAGTCGGCGGAAAGGAGGGGGCGGGGAAGGAAGGCTGAGGGAAGAGAGGGCACCCCCGGGCGCCAGGGTGCATTGTGGGAAGGAGGCGGCAGCGTCCCGGGCGGGCGGGAGGTGCACCAGCGGCAGCGGCGGCGGCGGCGGTAAATCCTCCCGGCCGCTCACAGCACTGTGGAGCCGCGTCCCCAGCCCGGCCTCGGACCGCGGCGCCCCTCCTGCCCCTCGCGGCTTCTCGCCCGCCGCCCCTCCCCCCGGCGCGCCGGCCTTGCCGAGCCGGCCGGCCGGCCTGGCTCCCCTCCCCGGCCCCGACGGGCGGGCGGGCTGCCCTGAGGAGGCGGGGAGGGGAGGGCTGGGCCGGCCGGCGGGTGGGCGACGATGCCGAACTTCTGCGCTGCCCCCAACTGCACGAGGAAGAGTACGCAGTCGGACCTGGCCTTTTTCAGGTTCCCGCGGGATCCGGCCAGGTAAGCGGCGGGCGCGGAGCCGGCAGCCCGGGCCCATCTCTGCGGTGCGCGCTGCCAATCGCCGGCTCCGGGGCTGCGTGGGGAGTGGGCCACGGTCTTCGACCCCAGCCTCGGCCGCAGCTGGGGAACGGGCCTTGAGCAGCGGGCCGGCGGGCGCCCGGGGACCTCGGAGCACGTGCGCCAGCGGGGGCTCGGCGCGGCGGGCACCACCCGAAGGAAGAGGCAACTGGGGCGGCGCGCAGGCGGGATGAGCTGGGTTCTCGCCTTGGTTAGCTTGCTGGGTGACCTCGGGCAGGTCGCTTTCCCCTCTAGGCTTTAGTTTCCTTAGCTGTCAAAAGAGGGACTTGGATTCTATGGTTGGGGTCACCAGGGCCCTTCCCTCTCCTTGCCACCACCCCCGGGGCAGTGTTTCTTTTTGGAGTCCGGTCACCTTCTTTGATCTCGTCGAGTCACAGTTAATTCCTCCAGCGGATTTGTTCATGGTTCAAATTCTGGCTCTGACCGTTACTCATTGTCTCACTTGGTTATCGTGGGGATAACGAGGGGTGTAAGGTGGCGGGGGTATACGCCTGTGGGCGTGGGAATTGGTATTGAAATCTCTTCCTTGAGGTAACCCACACGCTCTGACTTATATTTAAAGAGTGACAGAGTAGGGACTGTGAAAGTCTGAGGAATTTTCCTTGGCTTCTCTTGTTGATGCGTTCATTTCAAACCAACACTTATTGTGTGCCGAGCGCTAGTGTTTGGTGCTGGAAATTCAGATGTGAGTGAGACAGTTTTGCTGCCTGCAGAAAGCTCACAATCTGTTAAGGAGACAGATACAGAAGAAGGCGAATATAATATAGCATCGTATTTATTAGGTCCACAAATATTTATTGAAGGCCTACTATGTGCTAGGCATTGCTCTGAGCACTGGGAGTGTACAGGTGACCAAATCAAAGCCCCTGCTCTCTTGAAGTTTACATTCTAGTGGAGGAAAATAGACAAGTATGTATATACAGTATGTCACGTGGTGATAAATACTGTGGAGAAAAGGCAAATGTTGGGGGGTATAATAAGGAGTAGCAGGGGAGGCACAATTGCTATTTTAAATAGGGTGATCAGAGAAGGTCTCACTGAGAAGGTGAATTTGAGCAAAGACCAAAAGTAGGTGAGAGGGCCAACCATGGAGGTATCTAGAGAAAGAGCATTCTGCTCTGTGGAAACAGTAAATGCAGTCAGGGCATGCATGTTACGGGTACAGCCAGAAGTCCATGGACAGTAGAGCTGGTTTAAGGAAGGAGAGAGAGGGAAAAAATGAGAAAAGTGTGTGTGTTTGTATGCTAGGGGCGAATTGTGTAGGACATTTTAGCCCATGTAAAGCATTATGGCCTTTATTCTGAGCGAGACAGGAAGTCATCCAAGGGTTTAGAGAAGAGAGACTATACTTTAAACAGGATCACTGGCTGCTTGTTAGATTGTAGGGAAGCAAAGGTGAGAGCAGGAAGACCAGTTAAAGGCTTAATTGCAGTAATCCAGGTTAGTAGAGGAGGAGGAGGTAAACTGTTGGCATTTGAGAAACGTTTTGAAGGTGAAGCCAACAGAATCTGTTAATGGTTTAGATGTAGGGTGATAAGAGAAGAAGGGAAGTGAAGAATAACTCTTAAGGTTTTTTTTAACCTGAGTATTTACTGAGCTATGGAAGACTGGGAGGAGCAGGTTGGTGGAGACATATTAAAAGTTTGGTTTGGGACATGTGAAGTTTGAAGAGTTTAATAAATGTTCAGGAATATCCAGAAATGAACTCAAAATGGCTCATATTTAGATCAGTAACCTAAATATTTTAGAGCTAAAACCATAAAGAGATAGTCTGGAATTTAGAGACTTTCAGACTAGAGATTTTAAATATGGGTGTTCTCAGTTTATAGAGGGTATTTAAAGTCATGCTCTGGGGTAAGTAGAGCGGAGTAGATCTGAGGGTTGAGCCCTGGGTCATTCCTGGTGTTTAAAGTTCAGGGAGGTGAGGATGAACTAGCTCGGAAGAGTGAGGAGTAGCTGTTGGGTTCTATGGGAGCAGGGAAGGGGAACATCTGAATCTGACTGGGCCTTATCCCATTACGCATTATCTTCCTTTTACCCAAATTTTAGCCCAAGGGCAATCTTGAGAGTATATTTCACTTGCATAATAAGGGCAACATTAGTTGATTCTGGACACAAGTCATTTGTGTCCGTATAGTGTAGTGAATGCTCTTTTCGTTACACTCCTTAGAGGGGAGGGAGTATGACCTATAGGGGTGTACAGTCTCAAATTTGGAAGAAATTTTTAGATCTAGTGCAATCTGTCCCGTTTGAGAATCTAACATAAGGACCTTACTTGAGAAAAGACAGACACAATTTTGCATTCCATTATCAAGGTATTTATGGACCCTTTAGGGCCCTGTGCATTCCTGACAGGTGGGCCTTTGCTAAAGACTGTTCTCTGCTTTGTGAAGGGACACTTCAAGATTTTGGACAGCTTTGGCTGTTGTTTCTTTCTTGTATTGAGTGGGAATATGCCTCCCTATAATTTATGCTTTGGAGGTCCTAGTTATGTTCCTACAGTCACACCGAGCAAATCTGTGCCATTTTCTATGTCAGAATCCTTTGGATATTTCAAGACCAAATTATGAACTTTTGTTTTAAACATTTTTATTGAGATATAATTCACACACCATACAATTCACCCATTTAAAATGTGTATTAAGTGCACTTTAATAAAAATTATACAGTATTAATGTATATTCAGTATATATTACATTATTAATTTTTAAACATTTTGGTAAGATATAAAATTTGCCATTTTAACCATTTTTAAGTGTATAATTCAGTGGCATTAATTACATTCACACTGTTGTGCAGCCAATCCCTTTCCAAAAGCTTTTTCATTACCCCAAGCAAAAACTGTAACCATTAAGCAGTAACTCCTTCCCTCCCCCCTACCCCGCCCCACCCGCTTTCAGTCTCCATGAATTTGTGTGTTCTGTATACTTCATGTAAATGGAATCATACAGTTGTCCTTTATATCTGGTTTATTTTAGTTAACATAATATCTTCAAGATCCTAACTTTTTATCCAAATCAAATCTCCTCATACTAAGGATTTCAAATTCTTCTGTATTTGACAGTTTCTTCTTTACCGTGCCGAGAATTAATTATAATAACGAAGTAGTTTTCAGAAGTGTGTATTGAATTAATAACAGTATTTTAAGGGTTATTAATTATAATATTTTTTTTCTGTAAATGAGTTGTAGGGAAGGTTGATAAAAGGTGACATTGCCAACCTATCCTTGAAAAGTTACTGTTAACTAAAAATAAAGATAGTATATTTAATGCTATTAAATAGTACATTTCCTTTTTGTTATATTTGTAAATCCCATGGACACTTTTATAAACAGCTATTTGAAGTAATTTAAAATTCAAAAGTGTAGTTAATAAAGGGCACAGTGCAGAATTTCAAAATATGGTACCTTTTATTGGTTCAGAAAAAGTGGCATTAATGTGCTTTTTATTTCTTATTATTAATTTTAATTTTAGTTTTTTTAATTGAAATATAGTTGACAAAGTTCAACATTAGTTTCAGGTGTACAATGTAGTGATTCAATAAGTCTATACATTATGCCATGCTCACCACAAGTGTAGCTACCATCTGTCACCATATAGTGCTGTTATACCATCGACTATATTCCCTATGCTGTGCCTTTTATCCCCATTACTTATTCTTTCTTCTTTTTTTTTTTAACTATAAAATAATTGAATCAACTCACTTTAGGGCAGTGGTAGGGAGGTCATAGATTACCTAAAATTAAAGTTTAGGGCGCCTGGGTGGCTCAGTTGGTTAAGCGACTGCCTTCGGCTCAGGTCATGATCCTGGAGTCCCGGGATCGAGTCCCGCATCGGGCTCCCTGCTCGGCGGGGGGTCTGCTTCGTCCTCTGACCCTCCCCCCTCTCATGTGTTCTCTCTCTCTCATTCTCTCTCTCTCAAATAAATAAATAAAATCTTTAAAAAAAAAAAAAATTAAAGTTTAAAGAAAAAAAAAACCTGCCTAAATCTGGATCGCCCCAGGATGGCTTGACTAATGCCAAGGCTTGGCAGGAACCTGGGGGCAGCTCATCCCCAGATGAGGTGAAGGTACAAGTAGAGCTAATGAATTGCTCCTATTAGAGTGAGGTGGGCAATTGAAGCCCTCTTCTTCCTTCTCAGGAAGTTAGTTCTAACTCACCCCTCAGGTGGTGAGGTCTTCCAAGGTTCTTTTGGCAATTTAGTCAAAGTTAATTGAGAATTGATGTACTCTGCCTTGTAAAATGTAAAACAGTGTTTTTTGGGGCACTCATGAAGGTCCCCCAAGACCCTTTCAAGGAGTCCACAAGATAAAAATTATTTCCTAATAACACTGATGTTATTTGCCTTTTTCACACTTGTTCTTTCGGGAGTGTGCACTGGAGTTTCTGAGGAGCTCCATAACATGGTAACATCATTGCTCTGATAAGTTGTCTGTTAATATTTTCTAAAATTTTCTAAGTATGATTATACAGATGGCGGTGTTTGGTAGACATTTTCTCAGAAATGAACGAAAGCCTGCCACTTCAAGGGAAACAATTGACATTCAAGCAAAAGTTAGAATTTTGGAAAATTTATATGCACCACTTCAAGCTTGACAACTCTGTAAGACTTTTCTGTTGAGATTGATGGTGATATTGATAAATGTGACTTTTTATTTTTTTTTTAATTTTTTAAATTTTTTTTTAAAGATTTTATTTATTTATTTGAGAGAGAGAATGAAAGAGAGAGAGAGAGAGCATGAGAAGGGGGAGGGTCAGAGGGAGAAGCAGACTCCCTGCTGAGCGGGGAGCCCGATGCGGGACTCGATCCCGGGACTCCAGGATCATGACCTGAGCCGAAGGCAGTGGCTTAACCAACTGAGCCACCCAGGCGCCCCAATAAATGTGACTTTTTAAATAAATTGTATAATAGTGGTTTGCATA